TCATTAATATATTTGTAAAAACTTTTTTTGTTGTCTCTTAACAGCAGCGGCCAGATTGCGTTCTAGCTGGGCTTTTGCCTTTCTCATTTCTTCTCTGCATGACCTAACGAGATCCCTGTACTCTTCTTGAGTCGCCTGCCCCTTCTTCCACAAGCGGTAAACTCACCTTTTTTTCCTGAGTCCCAGCCCGTTCAGCCAGGCCAGTTGTCTTCCCCACCTGTTCTTCTTATGGCGTACGGGGACAGCCTGCTCCTGTGCCTTTAAGACTTCCTTCTTGAAGATTGTCCAGATCCAGAAAATCTTCTTTCTTCAGTTCAGTAATCCAAGTCATACTCTACCAAAAGTCATAGCTAGGATTTTTTGGGTTGTATTAGGGTTTTTGTTTTGGTTTTGTTTTTTGCCTGAAGTAACATTTGAACAGTGACATTCACACAATACAATGTCTTATACACAATTATTCAGAAAAACCTAGACCTCTGGTGTGTTGGTTTGTTGCTCTTCATTGCTGAATCATGAACCACAAGGGACTCTCTTCTGTTACAAAGAGAGCTTAAATGTCACCCAAATACTTTTTGCGCACAACCCTCACCCATTTGTCGTATTCAGATTTAAATCTACTGCTCTGGAAATGAAAACATACCAGCACAGAAATGTGGAAATCCTTTAGAAATATCCCATCCCTTTTTCCCTATCTGAAAGTACTGTTTGGGAAAGTACTGTTTACGAAATCCAGTGAGACATATAAATTGATACCTCTTTCTCACCACTTCCTCCGTATCTGGCTTGCTGCTTATTTCTGGCATGTTAGATTGCATCTGTAACTAGGAACCCATCTTGTGAATGGTGCTTGAACTTAATGGAGAATCTGTTCTGACTAGCTTTCCCATAACACTTCGGTTGAATTGTAACAGCAGTAGATTGCACAATTAATTTTGTTGTAGATTTTTCAATAGCTCCTTTTCATTAGTTCCCTGGTATAACTCCCAAATATAGTCAAAAGAATTTACACAATGGAGAAATAAAAACATAAAATCCATGCAAGGCCAAAGGTACTGAGTCGGACCAGCAGTGCATGTGGTCTCCTGCAATGATCAACAGCAGATGCTTGAGGAAGTAGGAAAACAATGCAAAGATGGAGTGATTTTTTTTTTTAAATTCTTTTTTTTTTTAACACTTTCTCAGCTCACAGTGATATGAAGGCCAGGAATTACCTGAGTCAGCACTGATATCGTGATGCTTGATACTTCTCAGTGGACTTTTACAATT